CGACACATCCACGGGTACCTACCCTCCCCAGGGTGCACAAGAGCACCCAACAAGCACGAAGAATGTTACAGTGGGGGCTCGGCCACAAGAGACGTCCGCAAGAAACCCAACCCTGAAATCCGCGATTTGTTCAATGAGAATCCACATTTGTCGATCGAAAATCGTCAAGATTTTTATTTGGGGCCCATCGAAATCCAAGAAACCCAGGGCACCCTGGCAAAATCCAACTGGTTTCTTGGCACGCGCCCCCACTGTATAGTACCCTCCTCGATCCGACCTCGATCTTATACCTCGGTCCAGCCGTAGTTCAAGTGTGGGGGGAGGCTACGGCGGAGGCATTGGATAAGGAAACCTTGGATAAGGAATCCAGGGTCTGAAAGCAAGCTGCATTCCAATTATGTATCGGCCATGGGTATCGACACCGCCCTCATAAAGATAAGGGATCTTCCAGGGTCTGGGGCCTCCTGGGCACATTCCTTCACCAACGCCCCCACCGTAGTCATTCCACGCAGCTGATTTGCCTGGCGCCACTGGGCGCCGACGACGTGCTATCCCGTGTGATTCCGACGACAGCACGACCAGGCATGGCCAGGAGGATTGCTTGATCTGAGCACTTTCTCAGGGTGGAGGGCTCAGGGTGAAATCCATATGGGCTTCTGCACCTCGAAAATCAATCCGTCTTGTGATTCACCGTGTGCAGATTCAAGCCGCGAAAATCAATCGAAACGGAATTTCAGATTTCACCCTTTGCCCTCCACCCAAAGAACGTGCTCGGTATTCCGACGGCAGCACGACCAGGCATGGCCCCGAGGACTGCTTGATTTGGCAATGGGTATGGATGTTAAGGAGAAAAATGACGCCATTGGGCACCAGGGTTAGGTCGGGCGTGTCCTCCTACAGGCAGGCTTTGGATGAAAAACAAAACAGAATCAAAAGCATCCAAGAATAGCCAACAATAGTGAAAAGATCGTCCCCAGACCTTTGGACTATTTTTGAATCTTTCTCCTGTAGAGGGACGTGCCCGACTTAAATGTCGGGGGGAAATGTCGCCACTGCTGGGTACCAGGGGCGCCAAACGCGTCGAGAAAGACGCCTGCCCAGCGGCCGAGACGACACCAAGCTGCATGCACACCGGACTTCTCCCCCGCAACTGAGACAAGCGCGCTCCACTGCTCGCAGAGGAACTGCTCGCAGATGGCCTGGATCCGCCGTGGGGATCCACGATACACTGCATCGAGATCCAATTTAGACAAGCGCGTTCCACAACTCGCAGAGTAACTGCTCGCAGATGGCCTGGATCCGCCGGGGATCCACGATCCATTGCATCGAGGACCAATTTAGACAAGCGCGTTCCACGACTCGCAGAGTAACGGCTCGCAGATGGCCTGGATCCGCCGAGGGGATCGACTGCGACTTGCTCCCCCGCGCCGCCATCGGGCCCAATTGGCGGCCGCGGGTCGAAGGAAGAAACACGATGACCACGGCCAACACGTCGCGAGATCTCGTCGACGCCGATCTCGGTCATGGTGCATGCTGGCCGTCGCCGAGTGGCAAGGATGTGCCACGAATGGACGATGACCCAAATGGACGATGACAAAGGTCGAGATCTACTCCAGATTTCGTGATAAAAGGGAGGGGGTCTGGACCCTCCAAGACAAGCCATTTCAGACCTCCCCCGTGGGAGAACCCTCCAAAACATCGTCCCCAGACCCCGCAGGCCCTCCAAGATAGCCTGGAAGAGACCCCCCCCCGAAATGAGACCCCCCTCCCTTTATTACGAAATCTGGAATACTTTTCCGCGCTCAGTCTTGGCCATGGTCGCCGTTGACTTCCCTCCGACTGCGGCGCGATGGTGATGGCGGTGAAACGCCACAGGCCAGTCGCGGAGCCTGCCGGTGCCTCCCTGCGCAACCTACCCGCCCGCCGCGCGCACGGCGCCCAGCATGGCGCGCCGCTGTGGCTGCCAGGTCTGCCAGGCGCCGCTCCGCCGAGCAGGAGGAGGAGGAGGAGGAGGAGGAGGAGGAGGAGGAGGAGGAGGAGGAGGAGTAAACCGCAGGAGGGCGAGGGGGAGAAGGGGGAAGGAGGAGACGAGCGAGAAGGGAGGAGGGGCGCTCCTCCTATTCGCCGCCTGCGGCCCACAGAGGGCACGTGCTCATCGCCGCCGTGCCCTCTCTCGGCGGCCCCGGGCGGTGCACGGGCGGCCCTCCCGGCCTCGGCCCCGGAAGGCGCCACACGTGGGGGATGCTGCGGCGCCGCGTGTGCCGTGGCGGCGGCCCCCTGGCGGCACGCCGTGTGCCCTGCGAGCGGGCGCTCGTGCCGCTCCGCTCCGCGGGGCGGGTGGTCGGCAAAGGCTCATGCTGGCGCGCTCTGGGGCCGGGGCGTGGAGAGGTAGCGCGTCGCGCCGAGGCGTGGTGGGCGAGTCCTGGCGGCGCGACACGCTGAGAGCTCCAGTTCCTCACCACGCACACCGTGCCAAGGGGCAGGATTTCGGGTGGCCCACAAGGGGGTCCAGCTGCAAGGGGGTGGTGCAAGAGATGTGGGGCAGCAGTATTGCAAATGTGTTGCGCCAGAGAAGGTTATCGCATTGTTTTGCAGCTGATGCATTGCGCACGAATGTCCAACAATCCATCTGCGCTCTGAAATGTATGGCACGCCCCGAATCTACCGCAACCCACAAATCCAGCGCCCCAAATCTATTGCACCACCCCCTTTCAGCTGGACCCCCTCCTGGGTCAACCAGAAGGATGGCCGTGGTTGGGCACGGTGGTGTGCTAGCGCCTGCTGCGCGTGTGAGGCCCGAGGCGTCTCCAACCGTCCCGCGCGGATGAGCGCGCCGCGAGGCCGATCTCTGGCGGGGAGCGCGGCGCGCGAGGGCCTGGAGCAGGATCCTCCGCATCGCGAGCTGCGGCAGGATGCGCAGCGCCAGCTCCCCGGAGTCGCCGAAGCCCGCGGCCGCCCGGAAGTCGGAGATGGCCTCGCCCGGGACTTCGGGGAGCACCGGGGGGGGAGAGATGCACCAGGCATGGGTATCAACGCCCGGAAGTCGGAGATGGCCTCGCCCGGGACTTCTGGGAGCACGGGGGAGAGAGGAACCAGGCACGGGTATAAAGAGCAACCAGCCAGCCAGCGGGTGTTCCGCATACTTTTTCTCGCCTGCTCCCGCACACAAGCCCCCAAAGAGCCCACGGAACCCCGGGGGGGCACCTTCGCCGGCAGGCTTGCCAGAGTGCCCCCAGGTTCCTCCTGCCAAGATGTCGCATCCCGTCAGCAGCAGGGGTGGCAGGGCCAGGATGGAGCGGGTTCGATTCCGTTCGGGCCCACGGGGTCAGAACCAACAACTGCGGAGGTCCACGGAGCTTCCAAGAGCAAGTCTCTGGTGCCTCCTGGAAGATTCTGACATGCGACCTGCAGATCTCCACCTTGCAACATCTGGCCCAGCTCTGCACCTTACACATGGCACCACCGGTGGAGCATGAAGTGGATGAGGAAGACTAAGAAGCTGATGACGAGGAGGGGGAGAACGATGAGGATGAGGATGATTGCGCAACCAACCATCCTGCCTGGTTGTGCCATTGGCAATCCACGGATCAACTGATCGCAGACAACTCATGCTTATCTCGCATGTCTGTTTTGCGCGTTCGCTTTTTCTACTCCGGCCGCAGTGCCTTGAAAATCCGCGACTTGCAAAACTGCGCTCTAAACGTACTCCAGATTTCGTAATAAAAGGGAGGGGGTCACAACCCTCCCAGACGAGAAGTTTTAGACCCCCCAGACTATCCATGAAAGGGCGGCCCTTTGCCTAGACCCCCCCGAACCCTCCAAGACAGCTCAAATTAGACCCCCCCCCGAATGTGACCCCCCCCGCTTTGTTATGGAATCCGGAGTACCAAAGCTGAGCAGCGCTCTCACTGCGGCGCTGCGATCTTGAAAGCGAGGAGACCCAGCAGCACAGCGCTGACCAGGGCCCAGAAGGACTCGGACTTCTTCGTCACCTCGACGTCCTTGGGATCCTTGATCCTGTAAGCGGGGGGCTTGCCTCCAGCACCGCCTGAAGGGTCGAAGAAATTCTGGCTCACGGACACCTCGCGTGTGGATCCACGCAAAGTCGTGGAGGGATTGCCCACAAATCCGCACAACGAAGACGTGAGAGTCGAGGCGACCGCGACCACGATCAGCGCCGCAATGAGGCGAGCCATCCCGTTCGGTGGACGAAGCACCGCCAAGGGGCGAGAGCGGAACTGCTACACAGCCCTCTTGCTCGAAAACTGCTCGAACCGAAGTGGCTTGAGCCAAAACGGCTACGGACAAACTTATCTCACACTCTCATAATATTTGTGTTGTTATTCCTCCGTATCTCTTTCACTTTTTTTTGTTTCTCTCTCTCTCTCTCTTTCACGCACCCTCTCTGTCTCGCCACGTGCACGTAGCGCGATAGCACGACCATTCATCCCCATCTACCACGCGATTGCTCGCACCGCAAATGCAATTTCCCAGCCTCCCATTTTCTCCCTTGCTGGTCTTTCCATTTCTGACTCCCTCTCTCTCTGTCTGTTCCGCCCACCGCTCTGTTCTCCAAGTAAGACACGTAGGCACGCATGCACAAACGCGCGCGTACATTTACAAGTATATTGGCGTCCATCCCGGACAACAGGCCCCTGTTATCTCGATGTGCAATCTGGGGACGGCGCCGTCTGTGTAAGGTGCAGAACGCTTGGCACGAAGTGGAGTGTCCCCAAGTCCCGTCGGGCTCCCTGCGCTGAGGATTCGAGGCCCCTTGGGCCGCCTTGAAGGCCCTGGGGCAGACCCAAATAGCCAACATCATTGACACATGAAAAGTGTTGGCCAGAGTTCTGCATACTCCCATTTTCGGTCCTAAGGGTGTCCAGGACAAGAGAGCCCCAAGACAATCCCACAAGGGCACCCGATGCCCCAAGGAGGGAACCGAGAGGTCTCTAGATGCCCTCAAGAGGTCCCGCGGACGGAGACAACCACGAAGCCTGCACGAGGCTCCCCAAGGGGCTTTCCAATGGACCCCAAGGGGCTCCTGAGAACAAGCACGGTGCAGGGATAGGCTTAGGTCGGGCATGTCCCCCTACAGGCGGATTGTGGGGGGAAGAACAAACATATTCCAAAAGGATCAAATCTATTCAAAGAGTGCAATGAATCGTCCTGGGATGTTTTTTACAACTATTTTTGAATATTCCTCCTGTAGAGGGACACGCCCGACTTAACACGAGGCTCCCCAAGAGGCATTTCAGTGGACCCCAAGGGCCCCTGCGAACAAGCACGGTGCCAGGATAGGCCGAAGCCGCTCCGCCACACCGTGGCCCCATGGCACGGCGAGGCGCGGCGGGATGCTGGGTGCTGCCTGGTAGAATGTCTGCCATCATGCTCCAAGGGGCCTTTCCCCCCTCTACAGTTTTGGTTGGCCCAATAGCGAGGGGCAACGATAGGGGGGGACCGGCATCAGGGCGGATGCATCGATCTGGAATCGGCGATACATCACCGATAGATCGGCGATAGGCCTTCGGTCGTGAATCCGCACCTTCATGGGCAGGCTGGGGCTATGAGGCCTCTATCGGCGATCAATGAGCGATTGGGGATCGATGCATCCCCCTATGCATATCCCCCCTATCGTTGCCCCTGAAAAAGGGGTCCGGCTGAAAAGGGGGTGGTGCAATAGGCTTGGGGCAATCGTATAGCAAACGTAGTGCGCCAGATAATGGTATTGCATTGTATTGCAGCTAATGTATTGCGCGCGAAAGCCCAGCAATACACTTGCGCACTGGAATGTATTGCACGGCCCAAATCTATTGCAACCCGCAAATCTACTGCACCAGATCTATTGCACCACCCCCTTGTAGCTGGACCCTTCTTTGGGTCAACCAGAACAGTCGGACCTGGGCCAGAAGTACATCCCTTAAGAACATGAGACCCTCCGTCGGCCAAAACACACAGAACGTCCAAGGGTACCCTCCCCAGGATGCACCAGAACATCCAGCAAACACGAATGCCATTGGGGTACACTCTCCAGACTGACCTCGATCTTATACCACGGTCCACCACCGAATTTGGCTTTTGGGTCAAAAATCAAGTCTCCAGCGGCCGTTCGGGACCATCCGGGCACCTCCCGGAACGCTCTCAGCGAGGCGCAGCTGCTGGAACGCATCCCGAGGCTTGAAAACCGCCGAAAACCGAACACGTCCGAAAACCTGAAACCCGAAAACCTCGAACCTCGAACCTGGAACCCGAACGCCTCGTACATCGGTCCGACGGTATTATCAGGGGCCCTCCTCCCCTCTGCCCGCATCCCGTGGCATGCATCGCCCCCCCCATCTCCCAGGGCTTCTCCAGGGCTGGACCTAAACGTTGTTCCTCGTTTTGTTTTCGTTTCGTTTTTCGTTTTGCTCCACCTGTTCTCCTGCACCTCCCTCCCAAAACGAAGAACAGAACACTGCCGGAGTCCAGCAGAACACCGCTCAGGTCCTGCCTGGGCGGCCGGGCGCCCCCCTGGCACTCCCCGGGGCGTCCAGTGCCGGGTGCTGCTGGACTGCCAGACGCGCCCGTGGCCCGAGGCGCCCCCGGGATCCCCAAAGCGGACCCCGCGGCCTCCAGAGCCCCCCTCGCGAGGCCCAGAGAGCTCGCAGACTGAGCGAGAAAAGCTGGGGGCACCCCGTGCCCCAGGGGCACCGTGCGCCACCCCCGACCAAGATGCCCGCGATGGCTTCCAAGACGGTCTGGGGCAGGCGACCAAGGCTAGTGCAGAAGGGATGCCTGTAGGGACTCATGAGGTGACTTGGGGCGGGAGGGTGTGTTGAGGTATCGTGTGTGCATCCTAGACTTCCCTGTCTCCACCTCCTCATCTTCCATCCCCCCCCTCCTCCTCCTCCCCCTCCTCCTCCTCCTCCTCCTCCTCCTCCCTCCTCCTCCTCTCTTCCCCTCCTCTTCTCCCCCACCTCCAGTTCTCGTCGTCGTCGTCCTCTTCCTCCCCCTCCTCTTCTCCCTCTCCTCCTCCTCCCTCCTCCCCCTCCTCTCCTCCTCCTCCTCCTCCTCATCCTCCTCCTCCTCCTCCTCCTCCTCCTCCTCCTCCTCCTCCTCCTCCTCCCGTGTATCGCTCCTGGCCCGGCGCGGCGCCCCACCGGCGGCCTTCCAGCTGGCGGCGCTGCGGTAGGCGTCCATCCTCCTCTCGCGGGCCGGAGGGCACGACTGCGGCCGGGGCGGCCGGGGACACGAACGCTGCTGGCAAGATCGCCAGGTGGGGGCGGGGGGCCCTCTCGCCACCCTGCCCCCCAGATGCCCCGCGCTGGCGCGATGGCCTCGGAAGCGGGGGGGAAGGAGGGCGAAAAAATGCACAGAAGCAAAAAACACATGGAATGCATTGTCGCCTTTGAGTGTACTCTTTTCTGGGTGGTGCGGGCGGGATGCTCAGCGCACCCCATCGTCCGGGGAACCAGGCAGCGCAGGGGCGTCGCCCCCCGATCCTCCGACGAGCGAGTAGCTGCGAGGCCACCAGACCTTGAGAGGCATCCACGAGGCCCCGTGCCCGCGCACGATGTGGCGGGACGGGCCGACGGCCGACAGGTCCGCGGCCCCCTGGGGACACCGAATGCTACTGGCAAGACCGCCAGGTGGGCCCTGCAAGGCCGCCAGGCCTTGAGAGGCATCCACGAAGCCCCGTGGCCACGCACGATGCGGCGGGACGGGCCGACGGCCGACGGGTCCGCGGCCCCCTGTTTGCTTTTCAAAGGGGTGCCTGGCGTGCCAGGATCTAGCACTTTCGAGCCCTCGCCACAAAGTTCCCAGCCGCACTCCATCGGCGCTCACGCCCAACATGGTCCAAGAGGGCTACCACTATTGTCAATCTTGTGCAAGATGAACTCAAAGGTCTCAACGTGCCCCCTTCCTTGGCCAATATTGCCCCAAGATGGCGGCCCAAGATGGCTCCAAGACGGCCCCAGCTGGCCTCAAGATGGCCCAAGAGGCCCGATACGGCCCAAGAATGCTCCACCAAGAGGCCCTCCAGGAGGCCCCGAAGATGCATCAATAATTGATTCCCCATGAACTGTTGAATGATGTTGAAGTTTTCACCTTTTTGGGCTTCCCGCGGCCGAAAGCGGCCCCAGAGGGCCCCAAGACAAGCCAAGACGGCGCAAAGACGGCCGCTGAGACCCCCGAGACGGCCCGAAAACGACTCCAGAGATCTCCAAGAATGCCTTCAAGCGCCCCAAGAGGGCCCCAAAATGGCCCAGTGAGGTCCCCACGACAGCCTCCGAACGCCAAGATACCTCTCATAGGCCGGCAGGAGGCCCCAAGATGCGCACATGGGGAGAATGGCGTCTCAATCACGAGATGAATTAACACCATCGCACGCTGGCTGGATGCAAGGGGGTCCGCCCGCCACCCTTGGGAGCCACGCTCGGGAGCCGCACTCCGGGGGCCGGGGGTCAGGGGGTCACACGCTCGGGGGCTGCGCCTGTGGGCCACGCGTGGGGGCCCACACTTTCTCCGCCGCGTCAGTTCGCGCCGACCTTTTTCAGAGTTTGTTGCTGTGGAGGCGGTCCGTCCGTCGACGAAGCAGCTGAGGCTCTCAGGCCGCCCCGGGGGCCCGGACTCCGCGACCCTGCAGTCGGAGGCGCCCGCGAACGCCACGCGGCGTGGCAGGCGCAGGCGCGGGCAGCGCTTCCAAGGGGCGCGCGGGCCGAGCGGAGAGAGGGCGGAGGAGCCCAGCGGCAGAGCGGCCTTCTGCAGACTGCTGGTGGCGGCGAACGTTAGATCGGGCATGTCCTCCTGCAGGCAGATTTTTGACGAAAACGTAAGCATACCCAAACAACTTAGAAACATGCTTTGAACAAAAAGCAATGCGCAAAACCATCGTCCCCTACCCTATGTTTTTTAAACTATTTTGGAATATCCCCCCTGTAGAAGGACACGCCCGACTTCAGGCAAAGGGTGACGCGGCGACGAGCTTCGAACGCTTGTCCGGGACGTCCACGACGCGAGTCGCCCCTCACGTTGGGCAGCGAGAGAGCGTCAATGCAAGCGGCGCGCTTCAAACAGGGTGACTGGGTATCAGTGAACCGAAAGAGGCAAGAGGGGAACCACTGGGAGCTCATGGCACCTCGATAAACACAAAAATAATTACCCAACCGTGTCTCAAGCGAGGACTTCAGCCAAGGACGAACACGGTAGTGAGATAGCGGGTCTCGGTCTGTCCCATCAGATGTCTGTCACACAGCCGAACAACCATCCTGCAGGTCGGGAGCGAAAGCGGGCAGACGCGCAGAAAGAACGTGAGAGCAATCTCAAAGAGGCGATCCCAAGATACATGGACGTAGAATTGCAGATGCGGCGAATACTGTCATACATGCTGCCTGTATGAGAGGGCCGCACCTCAGGACAACAATAACATGCACGCCGCAAGGATGTGGTACGTGCTGGTTCCCACCGTTGGAGTCCCCGAAGGTGCGTGTACGACCTGGCCAGAAGGTTCGACGATCCCGAAGCTATGCCAGCGTTCACTTCGACATGTCAGTTCCCGAAACCACGAACATACCCCAAGAAACAACACGCATGCCACCCAACATGCCAGCTGTAAGGGATATGTTGCTGGTCTTCCCGAGCCCGATCCAGATCCTCCAAGACATCGTGCACAGAGGCATAACAGAAACAGAGCGCACGAAATACCGAACGGCGGCAGCACGCGCAACAGCGCATATATCTACGAATTCAGTGTCGAAGCCGATCGCTTCCAACATCGTGGCAGTGTTATAGGATACTATGTTCCGAAGCCCAGAAGTCAATGGCATAAGACTTTCGCGGAATCCGTGGGTTGATTCAGATTCGGTAGGATAGCGCTGGAGTCGAGTAGAAGCTTGAAACGCGCATGACGAGGAGCGCAGCAGCAGAGTGGGCGATACCTAAACCAAACTGGCGAGCGTAAGATAATCTGGCATCTCTGGAAATGCAACCGCAAGTTGGCCATATCAGCCAACATCAGAAGTGCAGACAGAACCGGGCCAAGGTCCGCCAACGCATTTATCAAGCCAAACAGGAAATCACCCGCACGCGCGAGATTCATCTGCACATGACGGGAGCAACGGTGCCGACGTCGACGCAGCAATGGATCCACCGCCAGAACGACGAGGTACATCAGAATCGGGCAACCCTTCCGACTCGATGGCGATGATATCAAATTTCTGCCGCAGACCGGTCAAGATGGCACTATTACTCCCATGCATCATGCAAAACAAAAGATAACACACGAACAAATGCGCATCGCGCTCAAGACGAACCATAACAATACTTCGGCAAGGCTTGGTAATGCAGCGGCAAGGTCGGCGAGGACGAGGGAAGGTGCATATTCACGCATCTGGCAGATGAGGCCCAGAGATTCCGCCCCCGCACCATTTTCAATAATGTCCCGACCAAGCGCGCACTTTTGTTCCGTTCCAACAAGCTTGCTAGTATTGGCGACGAGTGGGCGGACAAACGCGCTAGCGAGAATCTTTGTGCCCATATTGCTCATGCTCAGTGGCCTGGTACAGGCAACTGAACGGGTGAACTCATGGCCAGGGCGATCAGCAGGGTTCGTGTCCTCCGGTAAGAAAACAAGAAAGCTGCACCACATATCTTCAGGAAGAGAATGAATGTCGTCAGTGAAGGGTGTGAGGTAGAGCGAAAAGAGAATGGGTGAGGCAATAGCCTGTTTCCAAACTGCGCATGGGATGCCGTGAGGGCCAGGCATACTACGGGGGCGCTGAATGATCATCTCATACCACATCGCATAGTCGAGCTTCCAATCGGAGTCAAGGGCGACACCGCGTCCCTGAGCTCGGGGTTCACCACGAGGGTCTTGATGACGCCAGCCCAATTGTCCCTGGGGACCTTCGCAGAGTCCGACGAAGACCCGCAAGGGGGCCCCAGCAGAGTCCGAGGCGGAGCCGAAGACAGCGAGCTGCCGAAACTTCCTCCAAACAGATTGGCGACGGCGGAGACGCGCCGAGACGTAGAAGGCATCCGGTAGTCATCGGCAGGAGACCGGGGGATCTCTCTCTCTCTCTCTCTCTCTCTCTCTTCGGCACAGAAGATCCTCTTGTAGAAGCAGAGCGCATGTTGGCAAAGGCCGTGGAGGCTGATGCACCGAACTCGTTGCCACAGTGAGTGCCCAGCCGAAGGCAGCAGTCGAGGGCGGCACGCGCGCGCCTGGCAGCTCGCCCAGCAGTGCCGCTCCCGAGTGCTGCCGGCCGGCCGCTCACGAGTGGCAGTCCTCGCTGCCGCCTCCCCCCTCGCGGCCATTTCGAGATGTTCCTGCGGCAAGCCTGCCTCCTCTTCGAGCTTCCTCTCGGTCAAGCGCCGCCTCTTGCCGAGGATCTGGATGGCCGTGGCGCTGGGCGCGTGGTCGATGTCCATGCCGGGGGTGTGGACCTGGTCATGGCCCGCGGAGCGCCCTCGCCCAAATGGTCTACTACCCCGTACTGCGACGGGCGGCTTCGGCTCCCCCGCCAGGTACCGCTTCAAACTCCAACGCGGACGGAACATTCGCCAACTCGACCTTCTGCCCGGACGCCCCAAGAGCCAGGAATCTGCCGAAGACGTCCTTCCAGGGACTGACCACAGTCCGGGGGCCCAGCAGTCCGCGGGGGAGTGACGGGTTGCCTGGAGCTGGGAAGAACGCGCTCGAGCACGGCTCGAACAGGTATACGGTCACTGGGCATGGCAGCTTTCAGTATGGTAGCAGTGCTCGCAGATAGAGTGAGGTCCCGAAGAAGGGCAGGAGGAAGGGAAGTGTAGATCCTGCCGATCCTGGGCGTCTGGCTCATAGCCTGGCCCCTTTCACCCCCCGAGTGTCCTGTTCCCAATGCAGTTCCGTCAAGTGCGGAAGGGGCCTCTGTGAGTGACGAGACTGCAGCGCGTCGCCCGAAGTCCATGCACCGCCATCTCCACGGACCCCCCCCTCCTCCTCAAGCGCAGAGTTCCAGTCGCCCATGAAGAGGACGTGCTCCTCGAAGTCGGAGCCGCCAGGCTGATGTTGTAGGAAGTCACTCTGCACGCGCTGCAAAATGCCAACAATGAGAGAAGATGGACCTGAAGTATTCGGGAGGTGCATACTGTATACAATCAAACTGCCCAGAGGCCCCCGGAGCACGCTCTTCAGAATCCCCCAGCGATCAGGGCGCGGT